GCCTGCTCGCACCCCCAGGCCCTCCCCTTTCACAGAAACCTTTCCCGAGCCTGTTCAGTCCTCTCTTCCTTGTGGGGGTCACAGGAGCTCAGGAAATTCACCACTTGCTGGATAAGGCATAATTTTCATGTTATTGAACCCAAAACATTCTTTTGTTTTGAGGCAGTCTGGGACTCAGAGTCCCAGGCTGCCTCTCCAGGTGCTCCCTGGCCTGCTCTCAGTGGCCACACTCCCCTACAAAGACCCTCATTTTGTGGTTTTTTTTTTTTTTTTTTGGAGACAGTCTTGCTCTGTTGCCCGGGCTGGAGTGCAGTGGCACGATCTCGGCTCACTGTAACCTCTGCCTCCGGGGTTCAAGCAATTCTCCTGCCTCAGCATCCCAAGCAGCTAGAATTATAGGCATGCACCACCATGTCCAACTACATTTTGTACTTTTAGTAGAGACAGGTTTTCACTATGTTGGCCAGGCTGGTTTTGAACTCCTGGCCTCACGTGATCCGCCTGTGTCGGCCTCCCAAAGTGCCGGGATTACAGACGCGAGCCACCGCGCCGGGTCCTCGGACCCTCGCTTTGAAGCAGCTGTTGTCTTGGTTTCCAGGGTGTCAGCAGTCCTCTGCCTGGAGCAGCTTCACCGCGATCGATTGACCTCGGGGTCACATGGCCTCACAAGGCCATCTTCTTACAAGTACACCAGGCCCTGGATTTAGGGTCCTCACCTGGGGCAACTGCATTTTATGTAACTAATGACATCCATGAAGACCTCATTTCCAAACAAAGTCATATTCTTTTTTTTTTTTTTTTAATTGAGATGGGGTCTCACTCTGTCACCCAGGCTGGAGTGCAGGAGTACAATCTTGGCTCACTGCAGCCTCTGCCCCCCACCCCCACCCAGGCTCAATGAACCTCCTACCTCAGCCTCCTGAGTAGCTAGGACTACAGGCACGTGCCACCATGCCTGGCTACTTTTTTTTTTTGAAATGGAATTTTCGCTCTTGTTGCCCGGGCTGCAGTACAATGGCACGATCTCGGCTCACTGCAACCTTCGCCTCACAGGTTCAAGTGATTCTCCTGCCTCAGCCTCCCTAGTAGCTGGGATTACAGGCATGTGCCACTACACCAGGCTAATTTTTTGTATTTTTAGTAGAGATGGGGTTTCTCCATGTTGGTCAGGCTGGTCTCGAACTCCCGACCTCAGATGATCCACCCGCCTCGGCCTCCCAAAGTGCTGGGATTACAGGTGTAAGCCACCACGCCCGGCCTCATGCCTGGCTACTTTTTTGTATTTTCAGTGTAGACAGGGTTTCACCATGTTGCCCAGGCTGGTCTCGAACTCCTGAGCTCAAGCAATCCACCCATCTTGGCCTCCCAAAGTCCTGGGATTACAGGCATGAGCCACCGCACCTGGCCTAATAAAGTCACATTCTGAAGTGCAGGGTGGACGTGAGTTTTTGCAGGACATCAATGAATTTGGGGGGACACCCGTCCAGGCCTAGGGTGGACGTTTTTGCAGGACATCATTGAACTTGGTGGGGGACACCCATCCAGGCTTAGTGTCCTCAACAGTGCAGCCTTTATAATCACAGCCTGAATTGTACACTTTGAATGGCTGAGTCATGTGGAATGAACTGTTATCTCAATAAAGCTGTTACCAGTAAAAACAGAAATAAAAGCCAGGTGTGGTGGCTCACGCCTGTAATTTCAGCACTTTGCGAGGCTGAGGAGGATCACTTGAGCCCAGGAGTTTGCGACCAGCCTGGGCAACATGGCAAGACCTCATCTCTACAAAAAAATTGTTTAATTAGCCGGACGTGGTTGTGCGCCTGTGGTCACAACTACTCGGGAGCTTGAGGTGGGAGGATTGCTTGAGGCCAACTGGTTGAACAGAAGTTGCTGTGAGCTGAGATCACACCACTGCACTCCAGCCTGGGCGACAGAGTGAGACCCTGTCTAAAAAAAAAAAAAAAAAAAAAAAAAAAAGAAGTACAGAAAGATAAGTCTGGCCGGGCGCGGTGGCTCAAGCCTGTAGTCCCAGCACTTTGGGAGGCCGAGACGGGCGGATCACGAGGTCAGGAGATCCAGACCATCCTGGCTAACACGGTGAAACCCCGTCTCTACTAAAAAATACAAAAAAGTAGCTGGGCAAGGGGGCGGGTGCCTGTAGTCCCAGCTACTCGGGAGGCTGAGGCAGGAGAATGGCGTGAACCCGGGAGGCGGAGCTTGCAGTGAGCTGAGATCCGGCCACTGCGCTCCAGCCTGGGCGACAGCGAGACAACCCCATCTCAAAAAAAAAAAAAAAAAAAAGAAAGAAAGATAAGTCTGTCTCCCCTCTCCTCTCCGGACTCTCTGGCAGGGGCAGGGGCTTGGTGGGAGCTGGCATGGATGGGGGCATGAGCAGGGCAGTGTGCAGGGGTCCAGGCTGGCCTCGTGGAGGTGAAGGCTCTTTCAGGGACAGCCTGAGTCCGCACGTTGTGGGGGTATCTCCTCAATGCAGTAATTCGGGCAGAAGTCCAGCTGGGGTGAGGTGCCTGTAATACCAGAGGCCTCCAGAAAGTGCAGCCTCCCTGACGCTGGCCAGGCCCGGCCTGATCCCCACAAGTGTCTTGGAAAGGTGCTACCAGGGTGGAGGACAGGGGAGGCAGCAAACCCTGAAGGTGAGTCCATCCCAGCGAGTGTGTGACAGGTGTTTACTGGCACCAAAGGAGGACCCCGAGCCCCAGGGAGGTGTCAACAGCCACGCTCTGCCAGTGGTGTCCCGAGAAGCCCCACGAGCCTAACAGCCCATTGGGTCCCTTCTCTCACTTCCCGGCTCCCCTCTCTCTGCCATCCTCACCCCCACGCCACTGGAGCACACCCCCTCTATCCTAGGAACCCAGATTTGAAGCCCTAAGCCAGCGTGGCCTCAAGGGCAGGTCCTGGACTTGGGGCTGGCCTTTCCCACCCACTGGGGAAAGAAACCCCAGCTGCAGTCCTCACAGGGGCTGAGGCTTCAGGGCCAAGCATGTTGCCTGCTGGATATTTGGCTCAGACCCTTGGAGCAGGAGGTGACTGAGCCAGCAGGTGCCCCACCCCTGGACACGCTCCAGCTTGGAGGCTAACCCGCCGTGTTGGCATCTGATGAACCCCAGTTCCAGGAAGGCCTCTAAGATTTTCAGCTCATCTATTGTTCCTTGTGTAAGAGCAGGTACTTACCCTAAATCCTGCCCTTGGAGCAAATGACTGGGATGCTTATCTGCTTCAGTTGTCCAGCACATCCCTCCTGAACCACACAGACCACTCCCCTGACGTACATAAGCCCTCGGCTTGGCGGTGACGCGTGGGCCCCAGACACAGATGTGGCTTCTGTTCCTAAGTCCCTATTAAATGTTTCTTTTTGAGAAACTGTCTTTCTGAGAAACTGGATTGGGCAGCTGCTGCTGCTTCTTTTTTTTTGAGATGGAGACTTTGCTCTGTCTCCTAGACTGGAGTGCAGTGATGCAATCTCGGCTCACTGCAACCTCCGCCTCCCGGGCTCAAGTGATTCTCCTGCCTCAGCCTCCCGAACAGCTGGGATTACAAGCGCCCGCCACCATGCCCAGCTAATTTTTGTATTTTTAGTAGAGATGGGTTTTCACCATGTTGGCCAGGCTGGTCTTGAACTCTTGACCTCATGATCCGCCCGCCTCAGCCTCCCAAAGTGCTGGGATTACAGGGGTGAGCCACTGCGCCCGGCCAAGGGCAGCTTTCTTTGGCCTCTCTGCCTCTTTGGACTTTGGGATAGGTCTGCATAGGCACCCCCCACTGCAGAACACACTCCATTCTAGACGTGGTGGGCTGCATCATGGCCCTCAAAGAGGTCCACATCTTCATCCTCAGACCCTGTGAATTTGTGACCTTATCTGGCAAAAGGTACTCAAAGGTGGGATTACATTAAGGATCTTGAAATGAGAGATGACCCTAAATTATCTAGGTGGGTCCAACATCACACAGGGTCCTTCTAAGAGAAAGGGAGGAGGTCAGAGTAAGGGAGAGGTGGAAAGATGTGGCACTACTGGCTTTGTTGATGGAAGGGGCCGTGAGCAAGGGGATGCAGGCGCCCTCCAGACACTAGAAAAGGCAGGAAAAGGATTCAGCCCCTCCAAGCCTCCAGGAGGAACCAGCCCTGCTGACTGCTTTTAGACTCTTCTGGCCTCTGCAACTGTAAGAGAACAAATGTGTTCCTTTAAGCCATTCAGCTTGTGGAAATTTGTCACAGTCGCCTTAGGACACTTTCATGCCAAGCAGGATTAGGCCTGTAGGCCCAGAGTAGCCAACATAGGGGACGGGAGCAGTGCAGGCAGCAGTGTGCCAGACAAGGAGTGAATCCCGTAAATGAGGCAGCAGACACCCTGCCCCAGCCGCCCCGTGCCCTCCCCTGCATGCTCTGTGGTCTGGGGTCTGTGGCTCCTGGTGTCCTCCACAGGGAGGGGCGTCCAGAGGGGAGCCTCGTGGGGAGGGGCTGGTTCTGCAGCCCCCGGTTCCGCCTTCTTGTTCTTGGGACACAGCAACCAGCCTGGCATTGCTGGAGGTTAGTCTGCGGGTTTATTGCACAGGTGCACATGAGTCAGGGGAACACGAGATCGGCCAAGCCAGAGACCCTGCAATGTCACCACCCAGGTGTGAAGGAGCCAGGTGGAACCCAGAAGGAGCAGACGCCCTTGGCCAACACCCGGAGCCGGGCCTCAGAATCGCGCAGGGAGGGCAGGGAAGGGAGCCCCGGCCTCCCATCCCCGAGGGCTCTGCCCTGGGAAGTCCTGCAGGAAGCCCACGCCGGGACACCCAGGCCAGCCCCCCAGGCAGAGAACAGAGCACAGGACGAGAGGGGGCCTGGGCCCGGCAGGCAGGGGCAAGGCATGCTCTTTCCTCCAATGGGGAGGTTTTTAGGGAGTCAGCTGCCACCATTTCCAGCAGCAACCCCTAGCGTGGCTGGCGGGGTACTGGGTGTTCAGCCAATCACAGGTAGGGAGCTCCTGGGATGGGGGGGAACCATCACGCCTCAACAGGACCAGCACGAAACAGACGCAGCCTACACGGTGCTGTGGGAACTAAGGCTCACAAACATCCGCAAGACACACGCAGGGCCGGCCACTCCGGCAAACAAAGTCACCCCGAACCTCGTGGGGGCCGCACTCCCTCGGCAGGGGGACCACGGAGGCGACAGGTGCTGACACCTCCGAAGAGCTGAGCTCCATTCCAGGGAGGGGCCGGGCCACGCCGCAGTCCTCCTGTTGGTCCAATTCTGCAATCACCAGATGAAGCTCCAGCTAAAGTTCTGAATCAGGAATGATGCAGCCATGAAGTTACAGGCATCCAGGTCACCACACACCTCACCGCCTTCAGGGGCCTGCGCGAAGCCAGTCGAGGACTCCGGTCCATTCCCCAGAATGTCAGCACCTCCGCCTCCCGTCACCAAGAAGGGGCTTCAGATACCTCATGGGGACCTACGATGGCTTGAGCTTGACACAGGTCCTCCTAGCTGCTTGACACGCTTTGGGACGCACTGGAAGGGTCTGCCAGGCCTGCTGAGGCCTCTTTTTGTCCCACCAGCCCTGCACCCACCCTCCTCCTGCTAGGGCCTGGGTCTTGGGTTAGAGAGTCACTTGAGGGCAGCCGGGCACGGTGGCTCACGCCTGTAATCCCAGCACTTTGGGAAGCCGAGATGGGCGGATCACGAGGTCAGGGATCGAGACCATCCTGGCTAATACGGTGAAACCCCGTCTCTATTAAAAATACAAAAAATTAGCCAGGTGTGATGATGGGCGCCTGTAGTCCCAGCTACTTGGGAGGCTGAGGCAGGAGAATGGTGTGAACCCAGGAGGCAGAGCTTGTAGGGAGCCAAGATTGCGCCACTGCACTCCAGCCTGGGCGACAGAGCTAGACTCCGTCTCAAAACACAACAAAAAAAGAAAGTCACTTGAGGGCTTCAGAAGCCGCTGACCCAGCCTGCAGCTCAAAATGAGGACAAAGGTGTTTCCATCCACCTTCACGGAGACGCTGGCTTCGCAGGCCGGTGGGCGAGGCGAGGCCCATGTTTTACTTAGGACAGGTTTCCCAGGCAGTACCCAGGCTGTGTGGGGGCTCCCCAAACACAGGCTTAGGATGGCATTCTCCCCTCCCCGTTCCCACCCACCTATCTGCCAGACACTGGGCTCGCCCTTGCTGTCCATCCCAGCACTGATGGACAGAACAGAGATGCGTGGGGTCAGTGGCCCTGTGGCACTGGAAGGCACATCCCACCAGAAATGGGCTTCCTGTTGCATAAAGACCAGATATGGCCTTGTAGTGAACTGGTGGATGGGAAGAAAGGAGAGGCTGGCATTTGCGGGTGTTATTCCCACCACAGCCCTGAAGCTGGGGCCCCCCAACAAGGCTTGTCCCAGGCAGGGGGTCAGGGATGGAAGGGGACATCTCTTGCTCGGGGACAGGGTCCTGCTTGGCTCAGACAGTGGGAAAACTTAAAAACACCTGTTTATTCTGCCAGAATTGAAAGAAAAATTCCAGGAAGAACTTTTTATTAATATAAAGTTTTAAGATATTGACCAGTCAGATCTAAATTACTCATTAAACTCTGTTTTAAACAAATGAACACACTGTGTTACAATGAAAGGCAGGAAAGTGGTTTTAGACGCAGATCGAAAACCAGTGTCTTCACGCACTGAGAACAGGAAACATTCTGCTCTGAGAACGAAGTGCAGAGTCGACAGGAGACACACATGCGACAGAAAGCCCCCAGCGGGAGTGACTGTGCACCCTGCCGGGTCGTGGGATGCCCAGGCAGTGGCTCGGACACAGCTGCCACGCTACGATGCCTGCTGGGCCCTGCAGGAACAGGGGGCACACACACAGCCCAGCCACGCACTGCTGAGCACGGCACAGGCCACACACACTGGCTCCTCCCACCTAACAGAGAGGAGTCGCACACTGAAAAAAGTCCCCTAGAAGGATGGCTCATGTCCATCCTACTGGGGGATGGACGCAGGGACCCGGCCCTGGCTCTGGCCTGGTGGCAACCCCTGCTGGTAGAGGCAGGAAGTACGCAGCTGGAGTCAGAAACTGAGGTGCTATCTATAAAAATTCCAAGATTCTGCCGGGTGCGGTGGCTCTCGCCTGTAATCCCAGCACTTTGGGAGGCCGAGTTGGGTGGATCACCTGAGGTCAGGAGTTCGAGACCAGCTTGGCCAACATGGTGAAACCCCGTCTCTACTAAAAATACAAAAATCAGTTAAGCGTGGTGGCGTGCGCCTGTAATCCCAGCTACTCGTGAGGCTGGGGCAGGAGAATCACTTGAACCCAGGAAGCGGAGGAGGTTGCAGTGAGCCGAGATCGCACCAGTATACTCCAGGCTGGGTGTTAGAGCAAGACTCTATCTCAAAAAAAAAAAAAAAAATCCAAGATTCCCATCTCCTTCCGCCTGAGACGGCCAGCACCTGCACCTGCCAGGCAGGAACACAGGACAGGCCCAGCTCTGCCCACGGCTACAGGGCCACAGAGGCTCAGGCCTCCTTCCCTGTGCAGGGAGTCCGGAGGGGGAGCGGCGTCCACCCAGACCCGCCAGGCCAAGCTCCAGTCTTCCCTGGCTTAGGGCTGACAGACTTCCGGGCAGTGGACCTGGCCTCCCAGAGCCACCCTACCCAGGGCCTGGGGTCCTTCTGGGCTCCCCCTCGGCCTGGTCATCAGCATCCGTCTGAGTGCTCGGTGGATGGACACGGGAGCCGGCTCTCCAGGGAGTCTCAGTGGAAGCCGCTGGCCCGGCAGCCAGAGGCGGTGTGGAAGGAAAAGGCTCAGCAGGCACATCCCTCTGGCGGCAGAGTGGTGTCGGGGGCCACGCAGCTCTCCCCTGGACTCAGAAAGCCAGGTTCAAAGTTCTCGTTTCCCTGTCTGCACATAACATGCTCTGCTCACTCACAAACTCCAGTTCCCCTGCTCTGGGCCCAGGCAGGCAATCCACAGGGAGCGGTGTGTGAAGGAGGCCCATGAGACCAGGCGGGCGGCAGGGGAAGAGACGGAGAGATTCCTGGCTACCCGGGCAGCACAGTACAGTGCGGCCACACGGTAGGGGCACCTCCGATCGGCATAAACATGGACCCTGCTGCCCCGACACAGGTGGCCCCGTAGGAAGGCAGGAAAGACAAGGAGAAGAGCTCCAGTCACCAGAACACTCTCAACCTCCTCTTTTCACAGTTAAACTAAAGAGAGAACGAGGCGGGAGCCAGGGCAGGTGGATGGGCAGGGCGGGGAGCTGCTTGGGGCCCAGCAATCTGAGGGCCATCTATACCACCTTCCCTGGCCGGCGCCCTCCCAGGGCCTTGTACCCTGCACCCTACTGCGGGCTCTGCCTTCTCTGACACCAGGCATGACAGAGGCCTGAGCGCAACCACATCGTTTTTATTTTCTTACCTCGGGTGGCGGTGGGGACTGTCACCCCAGGGCCTTGGCCTCCCACCTGGTGCAGGCAACTCTCTTGCCTGGTGACCTCAAGATGGAGACGTCCCTCACCTACTCATCAGCACGGCTAAGCCAAGCCGGCCTCCGTCCACGTAAGACCAAACGTTTCAAAACTGGCTCTAACGAGCTTAAGAACAGGACATGAAACGAAGCATCACGCTGTACCTGTTTACGTGTATTGAAAAAATAGCAGATGCAGATAATAACCTCGGCAGGACCAGACAACCATTTAAAATAGATTTTAGAAAGGATCCTATCGTGGAATTCATCCTTATGGTCTACAAGGAGAAGTTTGAAAAACTGGATTAAGAAAGTATTAAAATTCTGTACCCTGACAATAAGCAGGCAATGTTGGACCAATACAGCTCTCACCTTAAAGTAAATTCTTCTCATTATTTTGCATGTTATTAACTATGGAAAGTGAAAACAAAGATCAACTCTAATTTGGATCCAAGCCATATGGAAACCCACTGCCAAAGCCCATGGTTACCTTCCTGGATGAGAAATAGAAACTCAGGACCACCGGGGGCCTCTGCCCAAGTCGTGAGAGACGAACATGCCCGGGTGGAAATGGGCCGTGGGCAAGGCAGGCTCCAGCAGCTCTGTGGTGACAGCAGGCAGGCTGGGGAGGGGATGCCGGACACTTCCCATAGAGGCTGACAATTTCCACAAAAGCCCTGCACCCACAAAGCCACCGTCTACTCTCAGAAACCCCTGATGTCTTTCTCCTTAGTCACAGCCCAGGCCTCTCCTGGCTCGGCCGATACAGCCAAAGAAAACAAGAGAAGTTTCGGATTGCGCCAGAGAGCTCAGGATTTACAGGAGGCGCCTGCGGGGACCGCCATTCTCCTAATTCTTGCTTAATACAGGGAAGTCCAAGAACTAAAGCTGATGTGGGGACTCAGCCTCTGAAACGAGCTTCAAAGAACCAAGAATCAAAGCTTGCTCGCCAGGGCGCACCGCCCGTAACACCCACTGCACGGGCAGAAGGGGCCTGACACTGCGTTCTCACGCTGGGTTTTTCACCAGCTCACAGAACAGACATTCAGGTTCTCTCCCCCGTGCTGTATGTGCTCTTGGTGTTTAAAAAAAAAAAAGAAAAAGAAACGCTTTCCTGGTGGCTGGCAATGTGGCACACGCCACAGTCTCCACTTGGCAGTGAGGGTATTTCCAGCAGAAGGCCCTTCGGAGGCCCAGGTGGCTCTGGCGGACTCCTGCACTCACACAGCGGGAGGCCGCCTCCCCGCCAGGCTCTGGCCACAGCCTTCCTCCTTCCTGCTGGTGAGGCAGCGCCCTGCAGGGACCAGTGGCCCTGGGCAGCAAGGGGCCTGCCACCCGTGTCCTCGAAGCCAGGAAACATGGCTGGGAAACCTGTGTCTGACTCACTGGTTGCGGTGAGGCAGCCGGGCGCTCTGACACACACTCATGAAGACATTCAGAACGAACAGAGTGGGGAAGAGTGGGGACGGGGGTGGGGGGTTCCATATAAACCTGCATCTCTTCGCCTTAGGGCATTTTTCAACAAAGAATGCACTCCTGGCAAGCAAGTCTTTCTAGAAGACACTGGAATGGTCTCACAGGAGGGTGTGGGCTTTGGGAGGGGCCCGTCTGTGGGGAAGGTAGTGGGGTGGGGGTACCCCTTGGAGAGTCTGCTTCCTAGGAGCCCCATGGACCCTACTTCCTGCATCTCCCTATTTCTCTCCAGCTGTGGGTTCCTTGGGGACACAAACCTCTGCATGCCCCAGAGGTGGGGTGCAGGACTACAGGGGTGTGGTTGAAATCAAGGCAGGCCAGAGATAGGCACTGCTGCCTAGAGCTATACCTGGAGGGACCCCAAACTCTGGGCAAAGTGGGGCCAGGGAGGTCACTGCTGAGCAGAGGATGACGGGACTTGTCAGAGCTGGTGCTGTGGCCTCTGCCGCCACCCCAGCCTGCCCAAGGGCCTGGGAACTGCCGTGCCAGCAGGGGCAGGGGGCGGGTACCCCTCTGTCCTGTCTACAAACGCTGTGGCTTCATGTGCTGTCATGGGCAGCATGTGGCAAACATGCAGTGCTCCGCCTGCTGCAGCACGGATGATGGGAGCTTCCACAAGAAACCTGACGGCGTGGCTCTCTGGAGCTTCAGAGCTGCTCTCGGCCCAGCACGGACCTTACTGCATTAGCATCTTCCTCGTGTCGTGCAGCAGATTCCTGGAAGACGGCCATGGGCTACAGGAGGTCCTGCGGATACCTGAGAGGTCTGCGGACCGACTTGAATTTGCTGGGGTCTGGGAAAGTCCCTGTCGCTGCCCTGTGTGCGTTCGAGCAGGCTCACATCAACCCTTCCATACGGTGAAACAACAGCCTAAGATCTGAAATCCCCAGGGACTACATGAGCAGCACAGTAAGAAACAAAAGTTCAAGTGCAAGAACAAAGAGGCTATGATCAGAATGACAGTCAAGATATCTGGCAGAGTTCTTTCTGACCCCAACAGTTACCACCCAACTCCTTCTCAGAGATGCAAAGACAGAGGCCACCCAGGCCCAGTCCACGCGCAACATGGCCCCGCTGTGGTAGCGGCAGCCAGGGCCCACTCGAGGCTCCAGGCACAGCGGGCTCGGCCTCACCCACTCACCCTCCCACATGGAATGCCTCTGAGTTGGCAAACAGGGGCCTGTCTTCCTGGAGGCCCAGGAGCCTTGTGGGGAAGAGAGCTGGGTTTTCAGATCACAAATTTCTGTGACCGCTTTGTTGTTTTCACAAAGCACGACTGGCACATTTCACAATGAAGACCAGCAGATGCCAGACACTCATGAAAGAAAAAAATATCAAGTTTCGGTCATGGCTCTAAGGCAGACGTTACATGTTTTCACAGGGACAAACATGGAGACACCAACGCGCTGCGCGTCACGGGTGAGCGGCGCGGCCCTCACAGCACCGTGGCCTGGACGACGATCTCTGGGTCCTCGATATCCCTTTTGCTCTGCACCATCCGCAGCTCCAGCTGCATGGGGCTGGGCTTCACTCCTTCCCCGGTCTGGGCTGCGGGGCAGGCAGAGTTCCCATCTCAGAGGGGCTCCCACTGCTGCCTGCTGCCCCCACTCTCAAAGGCGACACCAGCAGGAGACACTAGTCACACCTTCGAAACCAGCACATGCCGGCTCTTCTCTCCCACCCACTTCAGGACCCAGGAGCCCACGCAGCCCACGCAGCCCGGCCGCCGTACCTTTTGCACACTGGATGGTCCTCTGCAGAACGTGGTGCAAGGCAGACACGGTCTTCTCACAGGCCACCTGCAGGGAGGAAAGACTTGCTGTGCCCCAGCCCACGCACGACACCCGACGTGTCCATCGCTGCCGGGAGGGGATTTCCAGTGAACACAAAGGCCATCCTGCTCTCCGAGCCACCGGGGAGCCAGCTCTGCCAGCACACGTGCTGAGTCCTGGAGGACAGGCCACGGACTGTCCACCACGGAGAGCCTGGAGGGCTGAGCGGATGCCTGGTCCCAGTCACCAGCTCTGGACAAGAGATGGCTCACAGAAGGGACAGCCTCGTGACCTGCATAGAACCTGGCAGGCAGCAGGAGCTTGGTAAGAGTGCCCAGAATTAACTCCTTATAACGAGTCTACAGGGGGAAGCGCTCCTGCCGAAAGCCTGGCCAGTCATCACTCAGTGATGCCTCAGAGTCAAAGGTGCTGGGGAAGCATGGCGAACTCGCTCCCTGACTCCACAAGCCTGGGCTGGCCAAACCCAGAATGTGACCTTGGGTGGCCCGGCAGCGAGGCCTCCCCGGGGCACCAGCTGGCACGTTTCCGCTGCTCTGCACCACCAATTAAACACGGCAGGCCTACTTAATGGTCCTGTTTAACTGCTCTTGAGGGGCCAGAAGGGACGGAATGAGGGGGCTGTGCATTCCAGCTCGGGGTGTGCAGAGGGCTAGTCCCATGGGAGGTGAAGGGCCTCAGTCCACCTCTTCCATTTTACACACCAGCACACTCAGCTGAAACTGACTTGTTGGGGAGGAGGTGTACCCTGGGGGACACATAGCCCCTTGAGGGGCCCGGCAAAGACAAGACAGGTAGAGCCACCTGCAGGTCCTGACCTCTGAACTCTTCCTTCCCCGGCGCATCCAACGGTGACAGAGGCGTCCTGTCTTCCTCCTGCCACTCCCATGGCATCCCCGCCCTGCCCCACATTTCAAAGGGATGGCAGGCCCCTCCCTCCTACCTAACCCCCCTGCAGACACAGCAGGGAGCACCCAGGGGAGTTTAGGGGGCCGAGCCCAGGGGCTGGAGACCACCTCAGGGCACAGCAGGCGTCTGGACAGTGTTGTAGGAAGACACACTCCAAAGGTCCGAGGACTCGGCTGACAAAACCACCCGCCAAGGCCACAATGCAACTTTGCCGCATGCAGCACAGGAGGTCACGAATCTGAGCGCCACAGTTGCAGCGAAACTCCTCTGTCCCCACTGAGCTGTGTGCTTAACCAAGGGACACACAAGAAAGGCTCACGAGACCCCACATCCCAACCTGCCATGCCAGTCGACCAGCAGACCCACTCTGCCCAGTGTCTAAGCAAGGCCACCCGATCTCCACAAACTTGTAAAGCAGGCAGACACCCCGACAATGCTGCAAAAGAGCTCTCCACACCTGCCTGGACCCCGTCCTCGGCCTCCCGCCTACTGTCCACACCTGCCTGGACCCCGTCCTCAGCCTCCCGCCTACTGTCCACACCTGCCTGGACCCCGTCCTCAGCCTCCCGCCTACTGTCCACACCTGCCTGGACCCTGTCCTCAGCCTCCCGCCTACTGTCCACACCTGCCTGGACCCTGTCCTCAGCCTCCCGCCTACTGTCCACACCTGCCTGGACCCTGTCCTCAGCCTCCCGCCTACTGTCCACACCTGCCTGGACCCTGTCCTCAGCCTCCCGCCTACTGTCCACACCTGCTTGGACCCTGTCCTCAGCCTCCCGCCTACTGTCCACACCTGCTTGGACCCTGTCCTCAGCCTCCCGTCTACTGTCCCCGATGGGCGGCTCTGGCCTTTCAGTCCCTCAGGTCACTGCCGTGGTCACACTGTGGGAAAGGCTGTGGGTGCCACTCCTCCGCAGCAGCCCCCAGGTCACCAGGACACAACAGCTCCATGCACCCCACAGCCCTGCGTCAACGCCAGGCGGACAGCATCTGAATTCAGGTGGGACCCCCGTGGGTCTGTTCTGACGCATCTCTCACCTGAGCCCCCCCCAGACTCTGATCATCCCTAGGTCCCAAATAAGGGGAGATGGGAGGCGATCTGAGGGTGACAGGTGCAACTCCGGAGCCCACGGCCCAGCTATTGCCCTGCCCCACAACTTGGGGCCGGCACGCAGGGCCAGGCCCTGTCAGCTCAGTAGGGACCCCCCCAGCAGGACTCTCATACCCTGCTCCCCACGAGGTGCCGTGGGAGTGGGCGAGGAGGGGAGCGGTGGTGTGGCTGACCTTGAGGTTATTGGGGTGCTTGTGTGTCCACGCCAGAAGCATGGCAGCAAACAGGTCCCCAGTGCCCACAAAGACAGCGTCCACCTTGCGAATGTCCATCCGGATGCGTTCCATCACCATGGAGCCAGCGGGATTCCCTAGCGGGAGAAGATGGGCAAGGTCACTGAGATCTGCCGCTCCTCTGCCAGGGCCAGCCTCCCCATCCCTGGTCCTCCCAGGCACAGTGGCAGGGAGGGTCATGGGGCAGAGCACATGGTGGCCTCGCTCAGGTTGCAGGGGCTCTGGGCCTGCATGGGGACCCCACCACCACCGCAAGGGAAAGACTGCAGCCTCAGAGAGCCACAGCCAGGCTGGTCTTGGGGGTCGCTGTGCAGCTCCCGAGAGTAACAACGGCGTGAAGAACTAGGAGACGTCTGCACACATCCAAGTGTGTGTGTGTCCGCGCATGTGTGTGCGTGCCCGCGTGTACGTGTGCCCGCGTGTACGTGTGTGTGTGCCCATGTGTATGCATGTGTCCGTGTATATGTGTGCATGTGTCCATGTGCACGTATGTGTGTGTGCCCACATGTGTGCGTGTATCCATGTCCACGTGTGTGTGTGCCTGTGTGTATGTGCAGTTGTGCCAATGTGTGTGCCCACAAGGCTCCCATGTCCAAACAGAGAGAGAGCGGCGAGGAGGCCACAACTGTTCTCTCGGGGCCATGGGTGTGAACTCGTGGCCACTAGCTTAGGGCATGGCCCCAGCCTTGTGTGTCATTTTCACACTGTTCAGAGAAAATCAACCTGGTGGTATCTGTGTAAAGAATCAGCACAGCTGGGCGGACGCGTCCTCCCAGTGAACTCAGGGACTCGGCCCAGCTTTGAGGGAGGCCTATGATGCTGGGCCCGTGGAAGCGGGTTCCAGCCAGGCCATTCATCAGGACCTGTGCGGTCTTGGGAATCCCATCCGACCTCCAAGAGCCTGTAAAATGGGGGTGTCATCCCAGTGCTGGGTAAGGCATAATTTTCATGCTACTGAACCCAAAACATTCTTGCAGCCCCAAAGGACGCCTTCCTCCAGGAAGAGCAGAGGAGGCCGTGATGCATAAGGGGGGCACTTACTCCTCCTCTGGCTCCCCAGGACAATCAGGTAGTCGCTGCCCTGCGGGGAGGGCAGGTCGGAGCTGGTGATGACCACGGTGTCAGGGCCCATAGAGTGCAGCATGTCCATCACCTGGCAGCGGCATGGGGAGCGTCAGCCACGCCGGGCACACACCACTCCCCCAGAGCCGGCCACACCCCACTCCCCTGGGGCCCGTCACACCCCACTCCCCCAGAGCCCATTCTCAATAGTGCCACTCCCAGAGGGGAGACAGCCACCTGGTCAGCCACCATCCTCCCCAAACTGTCAGCCCAAACTGTGTGGGTCCACGCAGGTGACTGGTGAGGGCCTCCCCCTTGGGGGCTGGACAGGTAAGTGGACAGATGCGTGCCTGTCCTGCAGCGGGGAGGAGCTGGCCCCTCTGTACGTTGGTTTTTCTGTAACTCTTGTGGAAACTGTCTCCACTGCACGGCTGCCTCAGAGCAGGCAGCACGCGTGCACACACACATGTGCTTCACACACACACGCACGTGAGCACACACATCCATGCACACACATGTGCTGTACACACACACATCCATGCACACACACACACATGCTGCATCGCCACCCAGCACACGACCATAGCAGAATCTGGACCCTGCCCCAGGGCCAGCTGACTCTGCAGCCCCAGGGCCCAGGACCAAGTCAGCGAAAGGCCCCCGAGTGGGAGGAGTGGCCGCTGCAGTGGCCCATTGCCAGGACCAGGCCCCTGGGCTGTGAAGACAAAACTCAGGGTAGGGTCAGGCTGTTCGGGAACGCAGCCCCAAGCACGTGGACTCCTGCTGCAGTCGGACAGCGTCCGCTCTAAAATGCATGTTGAAACATCGCACCCATGTGGCAGTATTCCGAGGGGGTCCTCTGGGGCGTGATTAAGTCACAAGGGCTCCCCTTTCTCTGTGCCTGATGAGAGGGCTGGAGGAAGCAGCATGGGGTCCTCGAG